CTTAAGCCTCAGCCTTCCAAGTAGCTGGAACCACAGGCACACACAACCACGCCCAGCTAATTTTTTGCTTTATTGTAGAGAAGAGGCCTCGCCTAGTTGCCCAGGCTGGTCACGAACCCCTGGGTTCAGGCAATCCTCTTGCCTCTGCCTCCCAAAGTGCTGGGATTATAGGCATGAGTCACCATGTCCAGCAGACAACACTTTTTAAAAGTTGAAAATGTAATAGATCATGGCTTTAAAATGTCACCACATCAAAAAGCTGTATCAAAATGACAACTGTTGGCTGGGTGCTGTGACTCACGCCTGTAATCCCAGCACTTTGGGAGGTGGAGGTGAGAGGACTGCCTGGGTCCATGGGTTTAAGACTAGCCTGAGCAACTTTGCAAGACCTCATCTTTACAATAAATAAAAAATTAGCTGGGCATGGTGGTGAGCACCCATAGTTCCAGTCACTTGGAAGGCTGAGGTAGAAAGATCACCTGAGCCCAGCCGGTAAAGGCTGTGGTGGCTGTGAGTGGACCACTGCACTCCAGCCTGGGCAATAGAGTGAGACTCTGAACCAAAAAATGAAACAAAACCAAAAATTGCAGCTGTCACCAGGTAAAGATAGTGTCATGGAAGCTACAGGAAAGAAATGTTTCAGACTTTGGGGTGGCCAACAGTGTTCCCTGCTGATGTGAACATTAAATTTAGCCCCAGTGAGGGGATCTTGACCAGAGCTCTGAATAGAGTAGTAAGAGCAGAACCTAGATTCCAGTGGATCTAGTGGTGACAGGAAGGGGAAAGTAAGTAAAGGCAATGAGTGTGGACAAGTCCTTTAAGTAGTCTGGCTCTAAGACAACAAGAAATAGGAGGTGGTAACTAGAGGGAAGCATGTTGTTGAGTGAGGGTCTACTTTATTTGTTTTTTGGGTTTTTTTTTTAGTTGGAGTCTCACTCTGTCACCCAGACTGGAGTACAGTGGCTGCTCCCGACCACCGCAGCCTCGCCCTGCTAGGCTCCGGCGATCCTTCCGCCTCAGCCTTCCAAGTAGCCGGAATTACAAGCGTGCGCTACCACGCCCAGCTGATTTTTTTGATTTATTGTAGAGATGAGGTCTCGCTGCCCAGGCGGGTCTCGAACCCGCGGGCTCAGGCAATCCACTCACCTCAGCCTCCCAAAGGCGCGGAATTACAGGCTGAGCCATTGAGCCCGGCTAGGGTCTACTTTAAATAGAAGAAACTCATGAGTATTTAAGTCGCTGTTTAAAAGCCAGATTCCAGCCAGGTGCAGTGGCTTATGTCTATAATCCTAGCTCTTTGGGAGACTAAGGCAACAGGATTGCCTGAGCGCAGGGGTCTGAGACCAGCCTGAGCAACATGGCAAAACCCCATCTCTACAATAAATTAAAAAAATTAGCCAGGCATGGTGGCACATGCCTGTGGTTCCAGCAACTTGGAAGGCTGAGGAAGAAGGTTCACCTGAGCCCAGCAGTCCGAGGCTGTGGTGGCCATGAGCGTGCCACTGCACTCCAGCCTGGGTGACAAAATGAGACTCCAACTCAAAAAATAAGTCTTAAAAATTAAAAAATAGGCCAGGCATGGTGGCTCACACCTATAATCCCAGCACTTTGGGAGGCCGAGGTGAGAGTATTGCCTGAAACTGCAGGTTTGAAACCAGCCTGGGCAACTTGGTGAGACCTCATCTCTTCAATAAATCAAAAACATTAGCCAGGCATGGTGGCGCGTGCCTATAGTTCCAGCAACTTGAAAGGCGGAGGCAGAAGGATCACCTGAGCCCAGCAATCCGAGGCTGTGGTGGCCGGGAGTGGGCCACTGCCCTCCAGCCTAGGTGGCAGAGTGAGACTCCAACTAAAAATAATAATAATAAATAAATAAAAATTAAAAAATAAAAGCCAGATTCGCACTCCACCTATGGGTAACAGGAGCTCCAGGACCCCAAGTCTGTTTGTAACCCCAGACTTGGTTCCTCTGCAGACCTCAAACCAGGCTGCACATCCAGGGAGAAGAGGTAGAGCCCTCCAACAAAGGAAAGTGGGTCCCATTAAACAAAGTAAGTGTTGCACCTTTAGAGTCATTCCCTGTGATGCTATCCAAGGTGAGTGTGAGGAGTAAAGCCCTGGTGAGTGGAAAGGGGTTCTGTGAAGGTAGACCTGGAGCAGAGTAAGGCAGGAGGCTGTGCTGCCTTCACCTTTGCCCAAGATGGCCAGCCACCTGGGGCTTTCCCAGCCGTTTCGCTGCTTCCTGCTGAAAAGAGCAGGGATTGGGAGAGGAACTGCCCCCTGGCACCGTTGGACAATCGCCATGGCTACTACAGGCCAGGCGTTTTATTCCAGTCATTGTCTGGGAGTGGTCCTCCCACATGTCCCCTTTTCCAATGTCATGGGCCTATTACTCTACAGTTTCCCTCCACCCCCTGCAACCTTTATCTTGCAAAACAAGATTCTTTAGCTACTATTTTCTCTGATGCCTGGAAGGATTTGCCCTGGGGTGTTTGAAATATGAGACTTTGCATGCAGGTGCACAATAAAACAATCTGAAATTGAAACCGATCTAGGTAGAAAGTGCTAGAATTAGTGAAGGACAGTGGGAGGCGCCCCACAAGGTCAGAGCAGACACAGGCCAAGAAAGTCTGCCTCTCCTGCTCCCAGCACCAGAGTAGCTCCCTACCCTCTGGGAGTGGGCTTAGGATGCTGCAGGGAGAGGGTCAACACCAGGACCAAACGGACACATGGCCCAGCGAGTTTCAAGATAGACTGGGCCACACTCGTCATTTCTCCCCATCCCCAATCACAGGACTGCTGACGGTCTTTTCCCTCAAGAATCACAGGCCGCTGCCTGCCCCAAAAAGAAATGTTAGAATTTGACTCAACAAGGAGGAGAAGCAAGGACTACATGTTGCGGACAAGGTGGACTCCTAATACCGCTGCTTGGTGCAGTGACTCTCAGTCCAGTCACACATTAGAACTACCTGTGGAGCTTGTTAAAATGCCCAAGACCTGGGCCCCACCGTGGTAGATTTAAATTCACTGAGGAGGCCAGGCTCGGTGGTTCAGCCTATAATCCCAGCACTTTGGGAGGCTGAGGCGAGTGAATTGCCTGAACCCACAGGTTCGAGACCAGCCCAGGCAACTTGGTGAGACCTCGTCTCTACAATAAATAAATTAGCTGGGCATGGTAGCGCGCAGCTGTAGTTCCGGCTACTTGGAAGGCTGAGGCAGAAGGATCACCGGAGCCCAGCAGGTCAATGCTGGGGTGGCCGTGAGCGTGCCACTGCACTCCAGCCTGGGCAACAGAGTGAGACGCCAACTCAAAAAATAAAATAAAATAAATAAATAAATTTATTGAGGAGGCTGTGGGCCTCACTTTTTTTGCCCTAAGTATTTCAGTCATGGAGAGCCACTGGCTACTTGAATAAGTGTCCAAGGTCTGCAGCCAGATCTCTACCTGCAGCTCCTGGTCCCACAGCTTCTTAGTTGTGTGACCTTGGGCAAGCTACCCAACATCTGTAAGTCTCCATTCCCTCAACTGTAAAATAGCACCTACTTGATGGAGTTGTGGGGAGGATTAAATGAGATAAGGCGTGTCAGTTCTTGGCACTGTGCCTAGCACATAGTTAAGTGCTAACATATTACTCTTGTTGCTGGAGTGGTGGTTGTTATGACTCTAGGATCCAGATTGAGAGGTATCTAGGTAAGAAAATGCCACTTCCAGTGACCAGCGGCCAAGATGTGTCCTTTTCTCAGGGTGGATTGAAGGGAGTCACAGCCAGGGTCAAAGATAAGCCAGGTCCCAGTATTGGTGCTCACCTATAGTCAACATTCGAGTCCAGTGCTATCCACTCTGAGTTGATGGAAGTGTTCTCTATCTGTGCTAACAATATGGCAGCCACTCATCACATGGGGGCTATTTAGCACTTGAACTGTGGCTAGTGTGATGGGGGAACTGAATCATTTTATTTAAGTGTAATTCATTTAAGGTTAAATAGCTACATGTGGCTAATAACTACAGTATTGGACCATATAGTTCTATAGACATGGATGTGTGTTGAAGATGAGAGTAAATAAAATTTAAAAAAAAGAAAAAGAAAAGAAAAATAGCTTAACCAAGCATTTTCCCTTCTTTTTTTTTTTTTTTTTTGAGTCTGGATCTCACTCTGTCACCCAGGCTGGAGTGTAGTGGCATGATCAGGGCTCACCGCAATCTCAACCTTCTGGGCTAAGGTAATCCTTCCACCTCAGCCTCCCAAATAGACGAGACTATAAACATATGCCACCATGACTGGCTAATTTTTTTTTTTTTATTTTTGAGTTGGAGTCTCACTCTGTCGCCCAGACTGGAGTGCAGTGACCACTCCCGGCCACCGCAACCTCGACCTGCTGGGCTCCGGCGATCCTTCCACCTCAGCCTTCCAAGTAGCTAGAATTACAGGCATGCGCTACCATGCCCAGCTGTTTTTTTGATTTTACTGTAGAGATGAGGTCTCGCTGCCCAGGCAGGTCTCGAACCCGCGGGCTCAGGCAATCCACTCACCTCAGCCTTTTTTATTTTTTGTTATGATAATATCTCACATGTTGCCTGGGCTGGTCTCGAACTCCTGGTCTCAAGTGATTCTCCCACCCCAGCCTCACAAGGTGCTGGATTACAGGTGTGAGCCACCATGCCCAGCCCACTATCTTATCTGAGCTTCAAAAAGTCCTACAAAGGCAATACAACAGGCATTGAGAGTACCATTTTATAGATGGGGACACTATATCTCAGGGATGTTAAAAGACCTCCCCCAGATCACAAAGAGAGTTAGAGGTATAGCCAAGCCCATACGGAGGCAGAATTCTAGACTCCTAACCCATGCTCATTCCTTCCACCTGTTGGAAAAGCTTTCCACGAGAATATCTCACATCAGCCTTTCAGCTCCTGTGAATGTCCTTAAGCAGGCACTCTCTCAGTCCCCTGGTCAGTCCCCAGGCTCCCATCTCTTCCCACTCCCTGCTATGCTACCCACCTGGAAGAGCTCCTGAACCTGAGCATCCACCCATTGCTCCATCTCCAGCCAGCGCTGGAGCTGGCTCCGGTCATATTTCACCGTCAGTCGACTGGGTCGCCGGGACCTGGGCAGCTTGGAAGGGTCCAAGTGGGACTTGGACTCTGAATCTGTGGATAATGTCCTCCTCCTTCCAGAAGCCCACTGGACATTCTTACATGAGTTCTTCCTGTCCGGGTTAGGGGATGTGCAGGAGGTAGGGCTTGATGACAGCATGGAAGGATTGGCCTGGGCAAGAAGCTAGGAAAAATTGCCACTCAGAGCAAAGCACGGAGAGAAGTGAACAGAGAACAGAGGGAGAGGCCAGAAGGGAAGAATCAAAGGCGGGAGGAGGGCCAAGGCTCCCAGGGAGGGGCGGGGGTCAAAGATCAACAAGGCTTTGGTGCAGGGAATGCTAGTCTCCTAGCTTCTTGCTGCCAGCCAGTGAGCGGCACTCCAGAGCTGTGACCCAGCCTCCCTTTCTGCAGCTGCTGGGGCCCGAAGTGACATAAACGGCCAATGAGCAAAGGTCAAAAGGCTGCCATGCCTGGGGAGAAGGAAGGGGCCCCTGGGTTCTGTGGGGTCCAGAGCTCCAATTGGCGCTCTACAACCAGCTCTGAAACAGGAACTGAGTCGCTCTCGCCCAAGATCCCTCTGCATTTCGCTTCCTAGGACTAGATCCACTCCGGGCCCTGAGAAGCTGTGGTCAGACTGATCCCACAGGAGCAGGGTCCCTGACTGGCAAGGGCTCCTGTACAGAGTATGGCACTAGAGAGGGCACAGTCTCAGCTGGTGGATGGAGTTGGAGGGTGGTTATCTGTGGCCTCCGTGGGATCAGTGCCCTCTTGTGTCTGGGTGTGTCTGAATGTGAGCCGCTCTCAGCCTGGCCTATAAGGTGTTCACATGCTTGTAAAGGCAAATTGATCAAGCCTGGTCTACCATACCTGTTCCCCTGAGGCAGCTGCTTCGGAAACCACACTGATCATCACATGACTCTCCCCTGACTCAGGTACTTCCTGACACAGAGGAAACTTCCAGGCCTCACTTATACCCAGGTGCCAAGGGCTAATATTTCTAGACTTGACTTTCTAAAGGGAGGGTGTCTTATTATTATTTTGTTGTTGTTTACTACTTTGTAACAAAAATTTCTAAATTTTTTTTGAAGTTATATAACAGAGCCGGGCTCGGTGGCTCAGCCTGTAATCTCGTGTTTTGGGAGGCTGAGGTGAGTGGATTGCCTGAGCCCGTGGGTTCGAGACCCACCTGGGCAACTTGGTGAGACCTTATCTCTACAATAAATCAAAAAATTAGCCGGGCGTGGTAGTGTGCGCCTATAGTTCCAGCTACTTGGAAGGCTGAGGCGGAAGGATCGCCGGAGCCCAACAGGTTGAGGTTGCGGTGGCCGGGAGTGTGCCACTGCACTCCAGCCTGGGTGACAGAGTGAGACCCCAACTCAAAAATAAAATAAAATAAAGTTATAGAACAGGACACTGTAATTTTTTAAAAAATGAACCGCTTATAAAGGCAAACATCAAAAATGACAGTTTCTCCTGTCCCCAGAGGCAACCCTCACCAACAGCTTCTGTTTTTAGTTCTCCTGTGATCACCATATCCCTTTATGTAATATCTTTCTGATGTGTCAATGAGACAGTATCTCTTGGCTCCTCATTATGAAGGATGAGAAATTAACTCACACTAACTTCTTCATCCTCTTTACTTTCCACATTCCAATCTGTTTCTATATTTCTTTTTAGGTCTTGTAGTGGTTGAGTTTCCATTTTAACTGTCTCACATTGACTCCTGAAAGAGAAGAAAAAGGCCAATGGATGGGCATTTCATGATGGAATTTTAGGCCCTAAGTTAATAAAGTGGAAGAGGTGTCTGGTCTGAGGGACTGGAAGCCAGGATCGCAGCCTAGAAATGCCTAGGCTTTGGGGGAATGGTGACAGATCTGAATTCCAACTCAGCTTTGCCCTGCACTGGTTTTATGACTTTGGCCAAGTTTCATAACCTCTTTGAGTCTGTTTGTCATCTGCAAAATGGAGTTGTTGGGAGGATGAAATGAAGTGAAGCAAGTAGACATTGAGCACAGCGTCCAGAACAGAGTCCCTTCTCCATATACAAGACTGGTCTTGGCTTTCATCATGGTGGCCCTCTTCCTAAGCAGCAGGAGGAAGGCCTCTAGGACACAGCCTGTTGACTCGGCAGTCATTATGATAGCATGGTTATGATGGTTCTCTCCTTCTTCACTTTTCTATCTTCTTGGGGGTTGGAGAGCCCTTCCAGGAAAAGGAACCAGATCAGAAAGGTCACGGGGTTTTGTTCACTCATCAACTCAATGATTTAACCAAGATTTTATATGCTCCCCCCACTCCCCCGACCCCTGTAGACCAAGCATTATGCTGAGATTGGGGATTTGTGCTTTAAAAGAGACAGGGTCCCTGCCTTCATGGAACTTATAGTCTAGTGGAAAGATAAACATTAATCACCTAATAAAATAAAAACTGCAATCAAAAGTAAAACTGCAATTTCATTTAGTAATTTAAAGAAAAGGTAGGATATGTCATAAAAATGTATAGTGAGGATATAACCTAGAGAATGGCAACATTTGAACAGAGTTCTGAAGGATTAGTAGGAGTTAAGTAGGCACAGGGGACAGCAGGAATGGGTCTGGCAGAAAGTAGAGCATTTACCAAGGTCCTGTGGCAGAAGAGAGATGGTGAATATAAAAAACTAAGGGAGGGTCAATAGGGCTGGAACAGAGGGAAGAGGAAGGGAAAAGTGAGCCATGAGTCAGGAGAAGGGGTGGAAGTACCCATGATGGGGTCTGTGAGCCATGTTAAGGGGTTTGGTTTCCATTTTAAGAGTACTGGGTAAGCCGGGCTCGGTGGCTCAGCCTGTAATCCCGCGCCTTTGGGAGGTTGAGGTGAGTGGATTCCCTGAGCCCGCGGGTTCAAGACCCACCTGGGCAGCGAGAACTCATCTCTACAATAAATCAAAAAATCAGCCGGGCGTGGTAGCGCATGCCTGTAATTCCGGCTACTCGGAAGGCTGAGGCGGAAGGATCGCCAGAACCCAGCAGGTCGAGGCTGCGGTGGCCGGTAGCGGTCACGGCACTCCAGTCTGGGCGACAGAGTGAGACTCCAACTCAAAAAAAAAAAAAAGAGTACTGGGCAGTCATTGAAGAGTCTTAACCAATGGCGGTTAAGCAAGTTAACGTTTTCAGATTTCAATTTCCAAAGACCACTCTGGTTGTTGCGGAAAGAGGATCGGAAGGCACAGAAGTTAGAAGGGTCCCTGGCTTCATGGAACTTATAGTATATAAGTTGCTATAGGGGAGGTGGTACTGTTGAAGGTGAGAGGTGGACAGATTGGAGAACTATTTGGGGAGTAGTATTTAACAGAACTTGGTAGCAGAGTAGGGACACACAAATATGCAAACTTCATGAATGCCTACACGGGGACAAGCAGATCCATGCATGGAGCCTCTCTTTGCCTGTTTCAATTCTAAACTGGGAGCTACTGAGAGCCTTTTTTTTTTGGGGGTCAGAGTCTCACTCTGTCACCCAGGCTTGAGTGCAGTGGCACGCTCACAGCCACCCCAGCGCCAGCCAGCTGGGCTCCAGCGATCCTTCCATCTCAGCCTTCCAAATGGCTGGAACAAGACATGCGCTACCCCGCCTAGCTAATTTTTTTTAATTGATTGTAGAGACGAGGTCTTACCGAGTTGCCCAGTCTGTTCTCAAACCTGCTGGCTCAGGCAATCCTTTCACCTCAGTCTCACAAAGTGCTGGAATTATAGGCTTGAGCCACTGTGCCCGGTTTTTTTTTGTTTTTTGTTTTGAGTTGAACTCTCACTCTTGTCATCCAGGCTGGAGTGCAGTGGCACGCTCAAGGCCACCGCTGCCTCGATCTGCTGGGCTCAGGAGATCCTTCCGCCTCAGCCTTACAAGTAGTTGGAACTACAGATGCATGTCACCATGTCCGGCTAGTTTTTGTGATTTATTGCAGAGACGAGGTCTCGCCAAGTTGCCCAGGCTGGTCTCGAACCCCTGGGCTCAGGCAATCCTCTC